GTGTACCACAACCTTCCCTGCTGCTAGTGCTGGAGTGTGCACCACAACCTTCCCTGCTGCTAGTGCTGGAGTGTGCACACAACCTTCCCTGCTGCTAGTGCTGGAGTGTGCACCACAACCTTCCCTGCTGCTGTCCTGGAGTGTGCACCACAACCTTCCCTGCTGCTAGTGCTGGAGTGTGCACCACAACCTTCCCTGCTGCTAGTGCTGGAGTGTGACCACAACCTTCCCTGCTGCTTAGTCCTGGAGTGTACCACAACCTTCCCTGCTGCTAGTGCTGGAGTGTGCACCACAACCTTCCCTGCGCTAGTCTGGAGTGTGCACCACAACCTTCCCTGCTGTAGTGCTGGAGTGTACCCCAACTTCCCTGCTGCTAGTCTGGAGTGTGTACCACAACCTTCCGCTGCTAGTCCTGGAGTGTGCACCCACAACCTTCCCTGCTGCTAGTGCTGGAGTGTGCCCCACAACCTTCCCTGCTGCTAGTGCTGGAGTGTGACCACAACCTTCCCTGCTGCTGTCCTGGAGTGTGACCAAAACCCTTTCCCTGCTGCTAGGCTGGAGTGTGCCCCACAACCCTTTCCCCTGCTGCTGTGCGGGAGTGTGTACCACAACCTTCCCTGCTGCTAGTCTGGAGTGTGCACACAACCTTCCTGCTGCTAGTCCTGGAGTGTGCCCCCAAAAACCTTCCCTGCTGCTAGTGCTGGAGTGTGCACCACAACCTTCCCGCTGCTGTCCTGGAGTGTGCACCAAACCTTCCCTGCTGCTAGTGCTGGAGTGTGCACCAAAACCCTTCCCCTGCTGCTATTTGCTGGAGTGTGTCCCAAAACCCTTTCCCTGCTGCTAGTCCTGGAGTGTGCACCACAACCTTCCCTGCTGCTAGTGCTGGAGTTGAAACCACAACCTTCCCGCTGCTAGTGCTGGAAGTGTGACCACAACCCTTCCCTGTGCAGTCCTGGAGTGGCACCAAAAACCTTCCCTGTTTGCACGCTGGAGTGTGCCCCACAACCTTTCCCCTGCTGCTGTCCTGGAGTGTGACCAAAAACCCTTTCCCCTTGCTGCTAGTCCGGGAGTGTGCACCACAACCTCCCTGCTGCTAGTGCGGGAGTGTGACCACAACCTTCCCTGCTGCTAGTCCTGGAGTGTGCAACCACAACCTTCCCTGCTGCTAGTGCTGGAGTGTGACCACAACCTTCCCTGCTGCTAGTGCTGGAGTGTACCACAACCTTCCCTGCTGCAGGCTGGAGTGGGAAACCAACCTTCCCCTGCTGCTAGGCTGGAGTGTGCACCACAACCTTCCCTGCTGCTAGTGCGGAGTGTGAACCACAACCCTTTTCCCTGCTGCTAGTGCGGGAGTGTGCACCACAACCTTCCCTGCTGCTAGCCCTGGAGTGTGAAACCAAAAACCTTCCCTGCTGAATCCTGGATGTGCACCACAACCTTCCCTGCTGCTAGTCCGGGAAAGGTGTGAAACCACAACCTTTCCCTGCTGCTAGTGCTGGAGTGTGCAACACAACCTTCCCTGCTGCTAGTGCTGGAGTGTGAACCACAACCCTTTCCCCTGCTGCTAGTCTGGAGTGTGCAACCACAACCTTCCTGCTGCTAGTGCTGGAGTGTGCACCACAACCTTCCCTGCTGCTAGTGCTGGAGTGTGCACCACAACCTTCCCTGCTGCTAGTGCTGGAGTGTGCACCACAACCTTCCTGCTGCTAGGCTGGAGTGTGCACAACAACCTTCCCTGCTGCTGTGCTGGAGTGTGTTACCAAAACCCTTTCCCCTTGTGCTAGTCCTGGAGTGGACCACAACCTTCCCTGCTGCTAGTGCTGGAGTGTGCACCACAACCTTCCCTGCTGCTAGTGCTGGAGTGTGCACCACAACCTTCCCTGCTGCTAGTGCTGGAGTGTGCACCACAACCTTCCCTGCTGCTAGTCCTGGAGTGTGCACCAACCTTCCCTGCTGCTAGTGCTGGAGTGTGAACAAAACCTTCCCTGCTGCTAGTGCTGGAGTGGGGACCACAACCTTCCCTGCTGCTAGTGCTGGAGTGTGCCCCAAAACCCTTCCCTGCGCTAGTGCTGGAGTGTGCACCACAACCTTCCTGCTGCTAGTCCTGGAGTGTGGCAACCACAAACCTTCCCTGTGCTAGTCCTGGAGTGTGAAACACAACCTTTCCCCTGCTGCTAGTGCTGGAGTGTGCAACACAACCTTCCCTGCTGCTAGTGCGGGAGTGTGCACACAACCTTCCCCTGCTGCTAGTGCTGGAGTGTGAAACCACAACCTTCCCTGCTGCTAGTGCTGGAGTGTGAAACCAAAACCCTTTCCCTGCTGCTAGTGCTGGAGTGTGCAACACAACCTCCCTGCTGTAGTGCTGGAGTGTGCCAAAACCCTTTCCCTGCTGCTAGTGTTGGAGTGTGCACACAACCTTCCTGCTGCTAGTGCTGGAGTGTGCACCACAACCTTCCTGCTGCTAGTTGTGGTGTGTACCACAAACCTTCCCTGTGCTAGTCTGGAGTGTGTACCAAAACCTTCCTGCTGCTAGTGCTGGAGTGGCAACACAACCTTCCTGCTGCTAGTGCTGGAGTGGGGCACCACAACCTTCCCTGCTGCTAGTGCTGGAGTGTGCACCACAACCTTCCCTGCTGCTAGTGCCTGGAGTGTGCAACACAACCTTCCCTTCCCTAGTCCTGGAGTGTACCAAAACCCTTTCCCTGTGCTAGTCCTGGAGTGTGACCAAAACCTTTCCCCTGCTGCTAGTGCTGGAGTGTGCACCAAAACCTCCCTGCTGCTAGTGCGGAGTGTGCACCACAACCTTCCCTGCTGCTAGTTGGAGTGTGCACCACAACCTCCTGCTGCTAGTCCTGGAGTGTGCACCACAACCTTCCCTGCTGCTAGTCCTGGAGTGGCACACAAACCTCCTGCTGCTATCCTGGAGTGTGCACCACAACCTTCCTGCTGCTAGTGCTGGAGTGTGCACCACAACCTTCCCTGCTGCTAGTGCTGGAGTGTGACCACAACCTCCCTGCTGCTAGTGCTGGAGTGTGAAACCACAACCTTCCTGCTGCTAGTGCTGGAGTGTGCCCCACAACCTCCCTGCTGCTAGTGCTGGAGTTTTGCACCACAACCTTCCTGCTGCTAGTGCTGGAGTGGGCAACCACAACCTTCCCTGTGCTGTCCTGGAGTGTGCCCACAACCTTCCTGCTGCAGTCTGGAGTGGCACCAAAACCCTTTCCCCTGCTGCTAGTTGGATGTGCACCAAAACCCTTTCCCTGCTGCTAGTGCTGGAGTGTGCACCACAACCTTCCCTGCTGCTGTCCTGGAGTGTGCACACAACCTTCCCTGCTGCTAGTGCTGGAGTGTGCACCAAAACCCTTCCCTCTGTAGTCTGGAGTGTGCACCACAACCTCCCTGCTGCTAGTCCTGGAGTGTGACCACAACCTTCCCTGCTGCTAGTGCTGGAGTGTGCACCAAAACCCTTTCCCTGCTGCTAGTGCGGAGTGTGCACCAAAAACCTTTTCCCTGCTGCTATGCTGGAGGTGCACCACAACCTTCCCTCCCCTGCTAGTCCTGGAGTGTGCACCACAACCTTCCCTGCTGCTAGTCCTGGAGTGTGCACCACAACCTCCCTGCTGCTAGTCCTGGAGTGTGCACCACAACCTTCCCTGCTGCTAGTGCTGGAGTGTGCACCAAAACCCTTTCCCCTGCTGCTAGTGCGGAGTGTGTACCAAAACCCTTTCCCCTCCCTGCTGTCCTGGAGTGGGGCACCAAAAACCCTTTTCCCTGCTGCTAGTGCTGGAGTGTGCACCACAACCTTCCCTGCTGCTAGTGCTGGAGTGTGCACCACAACCTTCCCTGCTGCTAGTGCTGGAGTGTGCACCACAACCTTCCCTGCTGCTGTCTGGATTTGTCCCACCACAACCTTCCCTGCTGCTAGTGCTGGAGTGTGCACCACAACCTTCCCTGCTGCTAGTGCTGGAGTGTGCACCACAACCTTCCCTGCTGCTAGTGCTGGAGTGTGCACCACAACCTACCCTCTCGCAGCTCTTACCATGTGTAATGATCTGCTTCCTTACTGGTTCACTGTTAATTATTACATTTACAACATTATCACCAGTAACATGGTGATAGTGTATTATATGTAATAATATTTCTTTCTCTGATTTTGATACAGTTGCTCTGCAAATTGGACAACGTTACGGTCCAGTACCGACCGAAACATCAACCATTTTTTCTTATTGTTCAGCCTGAGTTTTAGCAAGTTTATTTAGGTACAGGTACACATTAGTACATACGTAGTGTAAATTGCCCAGGATAACACAATAAAAAAGTCAGATGTAGTGACTTATTTCCATTGGGGTCCTTATAATATATTATTATTTAAACCTTAAAATTAAAACATTTAAGTAACTCAACTTACAATAAAAGTTGATGCACTCGGAATAAGGTAGACGGAGTTATTTACAGTAACAAGTACTTACAGTATTTACAGTAACAAGTACTTACAGTATTTACAGTAACAAGTACTTACAGTATTTACAGTAACAAGTACTTACAGTATTTACAGTAACAAGTACTTACAGTATTTACAGTAACAAGCACTTACAGTATTACAGTAACAAGCACTTACAGTATTTACAGTAAAAGTACTTACAGTATTTACAGTAACAAGTACTTACAGTATTTTTCAGTAACAAGTACTTACAGTATTTACAGTAACAAGTACTTACAGTATTTACAGTAACAAGTACTTACAGTATTTACAGTAACAAGTACTTACAGTATTTACAGTAACAAGTACTTACAGTATTTACAGTAACAAGTACTTACAGTATTTACAGTAACAAGCACTTACAGTATTTACAGTAACAAGTACTTACAGTATTTACAGTAACAAGTACTTACAGTATTTACAGTAACAAGTACTTGTTACAGTAACAGGTACATGAAGTCTGCCATTTCACTTCCATTTCTACGTGTGAGTGAGTGACCTGTTGTGTTGTGTGGTCCAGGCGGAGCTGAAGGCGGCGCTGCGGAGGCGTCGTGGTGAGGACTCTGGCTCTGGTGACGACGACCCTGGTCTCCCACGTTCACCTCCCACCTCACCCACCACCCTCGATGTTCTCAACCACGGACTCAAGGTGAGGCGCTCTCTCACGCACTCACACTCATTGGCTCCTACATCCACTCGCTCTCATATTTATTCGTTCACGCATTCACTCATACATGGACTTGCTTGCATAGTCACACTCGCTTGTTCATGCACTCATTCGTTCACACACACACACACACACACACACATGTGAACGACATGACGGAAGAGTTAGACTCAGAAGTGTCCCTGTTTGCAGATGATGTGAAGTTAATGAGGAGAATTAAATCTGATGAGGACCATGCAGGACTTCAAAGAGACCTGGACAGACTGGACACCTGGTCCAGCAAATGGCTTCTCGAATTTAATCCTGCCAAATGCAAAGTCATGAAGATAGGGGAAGGGCACAGAAGACCACAGACAGAGTATAGGCTAGGTGGCCAAAGACTGCAAACCTCACTCAAGGAGAAAGATCTTGGGGTGAGTATAACACCGAGCATGTCTCCGGAAGCACACATCAATCAGATAACTGCTGCAGCATATGGGCGCCTGGCAAACCTGAGAACAGCATTCCGACACCTTAGTAAGGAATCATTCAAGACACTGTACACCGTGTATGTCAGGCCCATACTGGAGTATGCAGCACCTGTTTGGAACCCGCACTTGATAAAGCACGTCAAGAAACTAGAGAAAGTACAAAGGTTTGCAACAAGGTTAGTTCCAGAGCTAAGGGGAATGTCCTATGAAGAAAGATTAAGGGAAATCGGCCTGACGACACTGGAGGACAGGAGGGTCAGGGGAGACATGATAACGACATATAAAATACTGCGTGGAATAGACAAGGTGGACAAGGACAGGATGTTCCAGGGAGGGACACAGAAACAAGAGGCCAAATTGGAAGTTGGAAGACCACAAAGAGTCAGAGAGATAGTAGGAAGTATTTCTTCAGTCATAGAGTTTTAAGGCAGTGAATAGCCTAGAAAAATGACGTAGTGGAGGCAGGAACCATACCCCCAGTTTTAAGACGAGGTTTGATAAACTCATGGACAGGAAGAGAGGGTCAAGTAAGCAACCGGTGAAGAGGCCGGCAGACTAGAACTCGACCCATGCAACCACAAAAGGAGTACAAATAGTGATACACACACCACACACACACAAAACACACGCACACACAAAACACACAACACACACACCACACACACACACACGCACACACACACACACACACACACACACACACACACACACACACACGACACAACACACACACACACACACACACCACACACACACACACACACACACACGCACACACACACACACAACACACACACACACACACGCACACCCCACACACACCAAAACACACACACACACACACGCACACACACACACACACACACACACACACACACACATTATTGTTCGTATGAGCTTTTACTCATTCCGACACAGGCTGTTATAAGGAGCAGCTGTCAGGCAGATGGAAACTGCAAATGTGATCCCCATATACAAGAAGGGGACTAAGAAGCACTAAACTACAGACTAGCTTCACTGGCTAGCACAATGGCTAAAGTACAGTACTAGAAATAAGAAAGAGACTGGTTAAGCATCTTGAAAGAAATAGATACATAAAAGACCGAATTTGTTGTATAGGCTATGAGAGGGATGGGAAGAATGTGTGAAGTAGTATAAAGAAGTGGAAAAAAGGGTGTGGGTAGACAGGGAGAAAGATGTAAGAAGTTTCAAGTGGTCTCACCACTTCAGGCGTGTTTTAAGGGAACGCTTTTTGTCACGAAGTGGCGAGTGGTGACTTTAATGTTCATTAGAAAAAGACCAATCTTGTCCCAGGATTCTTCTGGAGTGCTGTGAAGGAGAGATGTAAATTCAGCAAGAGGAAACATTATGTAGACTGGCGTCTTCGGCTGTGAGACAACACCTGACACTACCACAAGAAGCTGCAATACAGACCTGAAGAGCAGGCTGGGGCATACATCACTGATGGTGATTTGAAATTAATAAGGGAAATTTAAACCAAAGAGGCTGCAAAATGGTCAGCAAAATGCCTTCTTGAAATCAGTGCTGGTAGGTACAGAGAAAGAAAGAGAAGAGGTAAGAGAAGACAACGTGCAAGAAGGAAGATATGAAAGTAAATATTAATTAAAGCATATTATCATAAGGAAATATAAGTCGTATAATTTCAAGGGGCTATGGAAAACTTGCCTACCTTAGAAATGCTTACTGGAAAATAAAAAGGAATTAATTTAGCATGTACAAAACATATTTCAGGCCAGTGTTGTAGAATCCAGCGTCAGGATGGAACCCACACCTGATCAAACATCTAAATAAACTAGAAAAAATGCAAATGTTCGCAACAAAGTTGGTAGATGAACTGATGATAAAAGACTTTTGTGAAAGATTTAAGACACTCAACCTAACAGTGGTGAGGACCAGAAAACACAGGATCATCGCATACAAAATTCTCAGAGGGTCAGAGAGCCAGGGGACATAGATGACCCCTGAAGATGCAGATGGGACATAAGGAAGATAGAATAGTGACAACAAATAAGAGGTTTTGGAGGCGAAGCTTACACAGCACTACAGACGTTGCTCAACCAGATGACTGCAACAACAACCATCAATTTCACTCGAATCACTTTGTAAACTGCTTGAAATTTACCACATCAAGATTATAAGTTGTGTATAACCGCACAGTGATGATTATCGGAGGTGTGTACATGACTTGCTCTTTAGTTTTTCTATCTTGTTGACATCATGTACTGATTGGAGCGTCTCCTAATGGTGGGAACAGTCTCCCAGAAGTGTTACTGTCTGCTGATAGTGAGAACAGTCTCGCAGCAGTGTTACTGTCTGCTGATAGTGAGAACAGTCTCGCAGCAGTGTTACTGTCTCCTGATAGTGGGAACAGTCTCCCAGCAGTGTTACTGTCTCCTGATAGTGAGAACAGTCTCCCAGCAGTGTTACTGTCTGCTGATAGTGGGAACAGTCTCGCAGCAGTGTTACTGTCTGCTGATAGTGGGAACAGTCTCCCAGCAGTGTTACTGTCTGCTGATAGTGGGAACAGTCTCCCAGCAGTGTTACTGTCTGCTGATAGTGGGAACAGTCTCCCAGAAGTGTTACTGTCTGCTGATAGTGGGAACAGTCTCGCAGCAGTGTTACTGTCTGCTGATGGTGGGAACAGTCTCCCAGCAGTGTTACTGTCTCCTGATAGTGGGAACAGTCTCCCAGCAGTGTTACTGTCTCCTGATAGTGGGAACAGTCTCCCAGCAGTGTTACTGTCTCCTCATAGTGGGAACAGCCTCCCAGCAGTGTTACAGTGTCCTGATAGTGGGAACAGTCTCGCAGCAGTGTTACTGTCTGCTGATAGTGGGAACAGTCTCGCAGCAGTGTTACTGTCTGCTGATGGTGGGAACAGTCTCCCAGCAGTGTTACTGTCTGCTGATAGTGGGAACAGTCTCGCAGCAGTGTTACTGTCTGCTGATGGTGGGAACAGTCTCCCAGCAGTGTTACTGTCTCCTGATAGTGGGAACAGTCTCCCAGCAGTGTTACTGTCTGCTGATAGTGGGAACAGTCTCCCACAGGTTACTGCTCCCGATAGTGGGAACAGTCTCCCAGCAGTGTTACTGTCTGCTGATAGTGGGAACAGTCTTCCAGCAGTGTTACTGTCTGCTGATAGTGGGAACAGCCTCCCAGCAGTGTTACTGTCTCTGATAGTGGGAACAGTCTCGCAGCAGTGTTACTGTCTGCTGATGGTGGGAACAGTCTCCCAGCAGTGTTACTGTCTGCTGATAGTGAGAACAGTCTCCCAGCAGTGTTACTGTCTGCTGATAGTGGAACAGTCTCCCAGCAGTGTTACTGTCTGCTAATAGTGGGAACAGTCTCCAGCAGTGTTACTGTCTCCTAATGGTGGGAACAGTCTCGCAGCAGTGTTACTGTCAGCTGATAGTGAGAACAGTCTCCCAGCAGTGTTACTGTCTGCTGATAGTGAGAACAGTCTCCCAGCAGTGTTACTGTCTGCTGATAGTGGGAACAGTCTCCCAGCAGTCTTACTGTCTGCTGATAGTGGGAACAGCCGCCCAGCAGTTACTGTCTGCTGATAGTGGGAACAGCCTCCCAGCAGTGTTACTGTCTGCTGATAGTGGGAACAGTCTCCCAGCAGTGTTACTGTCTGCTGATGGTGGGAACAGTCTCCCAGCAGTGTTACTGTCTGCTGATAGTGGGAACAGTCCTCCCAGCAGTGTTACTGTCTGCTGATAGTGGGAACAGTCTTCCAGCAGTGTTACTGTCTGCTGATGGTGGGAACAGTCTCCCAGCAGTGTTACTGTCTGCTGATAGTGCGAACAGTCTCCCAGCAGGGTTACTGTCTGCTGATGGTGGGAAAAGTCTACCAGCAGTGTTACTGTCTGCTGATGGTGGGAACAGTCTCCCACCAGTGTTACTGTCTGCTGATAGTGAGAACAGTCTCCCAGCAGTGTTACTGTCTGCTGATAGTGGGAACAGTCTCCCAGCAGTGTTACTCTCTGCTGATAGTGGGAACAGTCTTCCAGCAGTGTTATTGTCTGCTGATAGTGGGAACAGCCTCCCACATGTTACTGTCTGCTGTAGGGGAACAGTCTCCAGCAGTGTTACTGTCTGCTGATAGTGGGAACAGTCCTCCCAGCAGTGTTACTGTCTGCTGATAGTGGGAACAGTCTCCCAGCAGTGTTACTGTCTGCTGATGGTGGGAACAGTCTCCCAGCAGTGTTACTGTCTGCTGATAGTGGGAACAGTCTCCCAGCAGTGTTACTGTCTGCTGATAGTGAGAACAGTCTCCCAGCAGTGTTACTGTCTGCTGATAGTGGGAACAGTCCCAGCAGCAGTGTACTGCTCTGATAGTGGGAACAGTCTCCAGCAGTGTTATGTCTGCTGATAGTGGGAACAGTCCTCCCAGCAGTGTTACTGTCTGTGATAGTGGGAACAGTCTCCCAGCAGTGTTACTGTCTGCTGATGGTGGGAACAGTCTCCCACAGTGTTACTGTCTGCTGATAG